TCGCAGTTGAAAAACAAAATCAAAGCAGTTGATCCGCCGATAGCTCAGTTGGTAGAACGGAGGACTTTAGAAAAGCTGATTTCCTGAAGTCCCTGAATCGCGCCCGGGTCGGTTGTTTCGATTGCTATCTCAAATAGCCTGCTTATAAAATTTAGATTTTGCAGTCGGGAAGTAAATTTAGTTATATAAAAAACATCAAAAAGAAAACAGCTTCAAAACATTTTTGCCGAAAAAGCCTGAAAGTTGTCAAAAACAGTTTGAAAACTATCCAAAATTGCATAGGTTGGACTGCTTTCTCGAAAACAAACAATCTGCCAATCAATCAGAATTGTTGGCAACAACTGAAAAAATTTCGACAGTTCATAGGTTTGACCATTTGCAAAAAGGTTCAAGCGATCAAATATCATTTGAAACATTTCATCCATCAAAAAATATGACTCATTGTCAATAGATGCGGGTGATTTTAAAGGGTCTCAGTGCAAGCTTTTTTTGAAAAATTAAATTTAGATATTAGGTTTACGTGATCATTTAAGCCAACATTTTTGGAGAATAGCCGATCACATTTGACAACCAATTTCATATTGTGATTGTAACCCAATATAAGAAAAATCCGATTTGTCACAGAAAAAAAAACACTTTAAAAATCAAATAGATACTCTTTTTTTAATTCTTGAGCAAACTTGATAGATAAAATCATTTGCTGGTGAAAAGAATATCAAAACAGTTAACATGCAACTTGTTTTTTTGTGAATTTCGGTGAATGACAAGGATAGAGGGTGTGATCCAGACAGTGAACTTAATAGAGAATTATGAGGGACAGTAAAGCAAACAAAAAAGAAGTAAGGCGTCAAATTAGAAGACAACGATAGAAATTGATGATCAAAATTTCGGTCTGTTTTATTCACCTCGTAAACAAAGTTTTCAGATGAAAAATGATCGAACAATTGCCGGAGAACACATCCGCCGACAGCTCAGTTGGTAGAGCGGAGGACTGTAGAAAAACTGATGTCCTTAGGTGACTGGTCCAAGTTCCAGTGAAATTGCCAGTGAAAACATTGATGGAGCAATAATCGGCAAGCAATTGTTGATACATACTTTAGTTAGTAGTGCAGAGGACTGCATTAACTGCTATCTAAATAATGAGGGCTTGAAGAGGTTTCGATAGAAAGTAGCTGGATTTTTACTTGAAAGTTTCCAGCGGAAATGGCTTTCTTCGGAGAAAGAACTTTCAAGTAGCCTTGTAGATAATTTTTGTGGAAATCCAGTCAAGTTATTGCCGTTACTTTGACTAGATGATAAAAAAAGCTGAAAAACCCAATTTTTCTCATTGAATCATGAAACACTTTTATGTATTTTCTGCCTGTTTTCTTCACCTCGTAATCAAGGAATTTAGATGAAAAATGATCAAACAACCGCCGGAGTAAAAATCAAAGCGGCTGGGTAACAGACATCCGCCGATAGCTTACTTGGTAGAGCGGATGACTGTAGAAAAACTGATATCCTTATGTCCCTGGTTCGATTCCGGGTCGGCGGATGACACACTGATTTTTTGATAACAGTTGCCGGAAATTGATTCACTTTTCCAAATTGAAATTGAGGGAAACACTAGTCGATCAGACGCGACTAAAAAACTTACATCTGAAAACTTAACCAGCATATATAAATTTTCTGTCTCAAATTTGCAAAAAAAAACTTCACAAAAATCAAAAAGACATCTTTTGAACCCTAGACAAAAAAGACAAAAAAAACCGCCAGTGAAAACATTGATGGAGCAATTATCGGCAAGAAATTGTTGTTATAAGCTTTAGTTAGTAGTGCAGAGGACTGCATTAACTGCTATCTAAAAATTGAGGGCTTGCAGATGTTTCGATAGAAAGTAGCTGTAGTTTAACTTCAATGCTTGAAACGGAAATGACTTTCGTCGGAAAATCTAACATTGTAAGAGTTTAATTTGAATATTCAATTAAAATTTTGCCATTAGTTTGACTAAATGATCGAAAAGAGCAAAAGAATTTTTTTTAACGAATCATGAACAACTTTTATCAAAATTTCTGTCTGTTTTATTCACCTCGTAAACAAAGATTTTAGATGAAATATGATCGAACCATTGCAGTACATCACATCCGCCGATAGCTCAGTTGGTAGAGGGGAGGACTGTAGAAAAACTGACATCCTTAGGTCACTGGTTCGAGTCCTGGTCGGCGAATGACATCAATTACTGTTTAATAACAATTGACGGAAATTGTTTTACGTTTCAAAATTGAAAAAATGTCAAAAAATCTAACATTGTAAGAATTTAATTTGAATATTCAATTAAAATTTTGCCATTAGTTAGACTAGATGATAGAAAAGAGCAAAAAAAAACAATTTTTTTTTTCATTGAATCATGAAAAACTTTTATGAAATTTTCTGTCTGTTTTCTTTTCCGCTTAGTCAAGGTTTTAAATGACAACTGATCATGAGAAATTAATGAGAAAATATCTCCGCCGATAGCTTAGTTGATAGAGCGGAGTACTGTCGAAGCTCTCTTATCCTTCGGTCGCAGGGTCAAGTCCGGGTCGGCGGATGTATACTAACAGTTGCCGCGACTTGCTTTCGTTTTCGGAATTTAAATTAATGATAAAAAATGTCCGCCGATAGCTCAGTTGGTAGAGCGGAGGACTGTCAAAACGCTCTTATCCTTAGGTCGCAGGTTCAAGTCCGGGTCGGCGGTTGTGTCATAACAGTTGCCCGGACTTGATTTGGTTTTCACAATTAAAACTAATGAAAAAAATAGTCAATCAGAATCAACTAAAACACTTGGCTTTTAAAATTTAACCATTTGGATTCAAGGTTTCAGATGATGCGAGCACAAAATAAAGTAGCTGACCGGAAAATATAGCTCAGTCAAAACCGCTTATAGCTCAGACAGTAGAGCGGAAGAACGTAGAAAAGCTGAAATTCTTAGGTCTCTGGTTTGAGTCCGGGTCAGCTTAAGACATCAAAATTTGTGTGATAACAATTTTCAAAGAATAAATTAACAAAAAAAATCGATACAAATTGACAAAATAAATTGAAACCTAACCAACCTATAATTTTTTCTTTTCAAAGTTTGCAAGAAACCAAAGTTTTCACAAAAATCAAAAAAATACTCCTTTTTGGACCCGTAGACGAAAAAAGCGACAAAAATTGCCGGTGAAAATAATATAACAAAGATTATCGACAAGCATTTGTTGATAGATAATGTAGTTAGTAGAGTAAAGAACTGCCTAACTGCTACTACTTAAACCTTGAGGGCTCGAAGAAGATTCGAGAGAAAGTACCTGCAGTTTAACTCAAAAGTTTGTAACGGAAATGGGTTCTTTCGAAATAATTTTAACGAACATTGTAGAAAAATATCTTAAAAATATCCTGTAAAAATTTTGCTAAAAATTTGAATAGATTACGAAAAAGGGCAAAAAACCAAATTTTTTTAAACGGATCATGAGAAACTTTTATCAAATTTTCTGCATGCTTTCTTTTGCTCACAGTGAAGGTTTTAGATATTGATTGATCAAACAATAACAGGAGAACAATCAAAGTAACTGTACAGAAAACCTCCGCGGATAGATCAGTTGGTAGATTGAAACAGAAGAATGTTGATATTCATAGGTCCTTGGTTTGCGTCCGGGTCGGCGTAACACATCAAAATTTGTGCGATAACAATTGTTTGAATTTGCTTCAGTTTTCATAGATTAAATTGATGAAAAAAAGAGATCACAATCGACAAAAAAACTGATGTTTTAAAACTTAAGCAGCCTATGAAAAATTTCTAGAAACCAAAAACTTCACAGAAATCAAATAGATACTGTTTGTTGGACCCGTAGACGAAAAAAGCGACAAAAATCACCAGCCAAAACAAATTAGTAAAGCAGAGGTCTGCACTCACTGCTACTACCTAAAGCCTGAGGGCTCGGAGAGGATTCGATAGAAGGTAGCTGCTGTTTATCTTGAAAGTTGTGAGCGAAATGGTGTTCGAAACAAATTTTAACGAACATTCTTGAAGATTGTTTGTTGAATATCCCGTAAATTTTTTGCTATTAATTTAAATAGATGATCAGAAAGAGTCAAAAAACCAAGGTTTTCCAAACGAATCATGAAAAACTTCTCTATTTTCTTTTCCTCAAAACAAAATTTCGATCTATTTTTTCCTCGTGCTCAAAGTTTGAGATGATGATTGATCAAACAATCGCAGTTAAAAAAAATCAAAGCAGTTGATCCGCCGATAGCTCAGTTGGTAGAACGGAGGACTTTCAAAAAAATATGACTCATTGTCAATAGATGCGGGTGATTTTAAAGGGTCTCAGTGCAAGCTTTTTTTAAAATTTAAATTTAGATATTAGGTTTACGTGATCGTTTAAGCCAACATTTTTGGAGAATAGCCGATCACATTTGACAACCAATTTCATATTGTGATTGTTACCCAATATAAGAAAAATCCGATTTGTCACAGAAAAAAAAACACTTTAAAAATCAAATAGATACTCTTTTTTTAATTCTTGAGCAAACTTGATAGATAAAATCATTTGCTGGTGAAAAGAATATCAAAACAATTAACATGCAACTTGTTTTTTTGTGAATTTCGGTGAATGACAAGGATAGAGGGTGTGATCCAGACAGTGAACTTAATAGAGAATTATGAGGGACAGTAAAGCAAACAAAAAAGAAGCAAGGCGCCAAATTAGAAGACAACGATTAGCCGAATAATGAATTACTATTTATTACAGCAGTTATTCTTATTTTCGTTCGATTTGAGGGCAAGCAAGGTGTGAAATAATTGATCGTTTCCTCCAAAATGTCTTCAATTTGTTTTCTTAGCTCGTTATTAAGTTCACTGTCTAGATCAGACCCGTCTCCTTGTCATTCACCGTGACTTTCAAAGCTAATATTGTAGAAAAAAAACTTGTAAAAAAAAAAAAACTTTGCGGCAAGAAGAATGTTGCAAACTTTGTTTAAATAAACTAGAAGGTAATGAGTGTGACCTTGTACTGGATGAGCTGTTGGGACCACATCTGGAGCAGATCACTTCTGTACTTGCCAGTGAATGTGCCCAGATAAGCCACATATCCCGCCGAGATCATCACATTACCCACGTAGCGCTTCAGTTTCTCCTCCAGCATCTGAACAGAGGTCAAAGGTCATTCAATACACACAACCAGTCAGCAAGTTCGATACGCTTTTCTCTCAACTATTCAACTAGCATACACGTTACTCGACATACATGGCTTCCGAATATGCATTCCGAGGGTAACTGCTTTTACTACTTATCAAAGTTGGAGCACCATTAGATCTCCTTGTAAGCAACCCCCGCCGTATGAAATTTCCAGGTATTCAGTTATTTCATTCGGGAGCAACATCAGTTAGGGTATTCAGGAGCACACTTGCCAGCCGCTGTGTGTGCGTGGTGTGTATGTGTGTGTATGAGCGACTGTTTTTTTTTTGTGTTGGTGACTTGACTTGACTTACGGCCACAGAGCTCTGCCACCTCTCCTTCTCATCCGCCAGTCCCCCAATCAACTTGCCAGCCCTCACCAGCCTCTGTTCACACTCGTTCGTCTTCCTCTCCAACTCCTCCTTCTTACTCACACACTCGTTCAATTTAGCCTACAAACAGATAAAAACATTTATCATCTACTCATGTTTCAATTTCACCACAATGACAAATCGATTTGGCTTCAAATCATATATCCACGTTTCGTTTCAACTTCATGCTGTTTTTTTTCAAGCGCAAAGAGAAAATCATGAGCTTGATCCGTAAAAGCTGAGGTTGCGGTTATCAAATCAAATATTCTTTAAATCTATTATATATTTTTGTAAGCTCACGATAATATAGAAACCCATATCGCCTGCAACGTGAATGTATGGTCTTCAAAAAAATATTCTGTACAACATTGACCGGAAAGAATCTTGGCTTGCCTGCAGAGTGGCGATTCCCTCCTCCACCTCGTACAGTCTGGCCTTGGCAGCATCCAGGATCCTCTGGCTCTCCGCCAGTTCCGCCTGGGACTCCGCCAGAGCGGCTCTCTTCGGGGCGACATTCCTCGCCACAAAGTGGTACTTGTGCATAGCACGTACCCATTGACACAAACTAGTACATGCTTTGGACACCTGGAGAGAAAATGAAAGATGGAATATCAATAAAAGATTTCTTAAAACATTATGGCGGAATTCGGCAACAAAAGAGAAGATATTTCGGGTAAATAATATTTCAAAGCTTAGAAGCTCAAAAAACTTACACATCTGACTGAAATTGAAGAATAAAACCTCACTTACGCTTAGTATAAAATAGAGATTACGTGAACTTTTGCCGTGGACTGACCTTTGCAATGGCGGATGGGAGGAACTCCTCGTTCTCCATGTACGGCTGGATCTTCTTGATTGTGTCGTCTGAGATGTTGTCTTTGTCGTAGTTAAACAGTGATTCCAGGAACTTACTGGGCTCCTGCAACATCACCTTACCCGGATCCCAGTAGTCATCCACCTTCTGTCCAGGCTACACAACGAAAACAGTTCAGTTGTCACTCAAATAAACTTTTTCAAATTGACCTTTGCACTCACTATACAGTAAATTTTAACCAAAATAGTTTTGATACTTTCAAGAGAACCATAAAAAATGTTCTTCCTATTTTAGTATAATCATCAAACTCTCAATCAAATGAAAAAAAGTTGTCCTAAGATCAGAAAGCGAGTGCGTCCTTGTACCGACCTTTTCTCCGGCCACTTTTTTGGGCTTGATGGTCTTCATGATGCAGACTGCCTCCATCACCATCCTCACTCCCTGAGGGGGTCTGGTCATGGCCCTGACTTCAATCACGTCATTCTTGTTGAGAGATCTGAACAAAAAAGTGTTATTTCTAGTTCAATTCAGCAAAGCTGATCAGTGATTCTCTCCTATCAAAAAGAGCGGCAGGGATGTGGATAAGATATCCGCCTCTCAAACGAAAAATCGGTAGTGCGCCGCCGCCATGATCTCTGTTCGTTGCTAGAGGGTGAGGCCACATTATCCAACCCACAAAAACAACCAAACAAATGCATGTTAGTCGGACCTAAGGGAAACAACAGCGTTTCTTCGTAAAAAGCTGAGCAGCTCGTTCCGCAGTCCTTTTCCTCGAGAAAATGTGTTGTGAACAAATTATAAATCAAACTAGGAGGGAGGTGAAAAGCTAACCTCAGACTAGACAGCGCCGCCTCCAGTGCTGGCAACGCTTCGTCCAAGTCCCGCTGGGCATCATCTGCAATCTCCTGTGCCTTGCCGGCCTTGATAGTAGCCTCGGCCTCCTCTTTCTCCACCTCCTTCTTAGTGTCAGCTGCGATGACAGAATCAGTGGCTATTTTCTCCATCGTAGTCTCAGTCTCCTTGGCTGCCTCTTCCAACAGAGGCTGCATGTCTTTCAGCTCATCCTCCATTTTGGCCACGTCCTCTGCAGTCGTCAGCAGCTGGAAACAGAAAATATTACTTGAACCATTGCCTTTAAAAAACTTTGAAGTCGCTATACATGTTTTATTATATGACACAAAAAAGAAGTTCTGGAGATATAATTAACAAAAACAAAAAAAACCGTGCCAACAGACAGTTGGAAAAGAGTCAATGAACACAAGGTAACAGAAAAAAAACATTGACTTGTTTAGAAAAAATAACATTCGAATTTCAAAGAAAAAAATAGATGCCCTCAAAGCTCTGAATTTCTAGAACGATCGGCACTTTTTTGATAAAATGAATCCAATTTGAGAAAACAGGATCAAAAAGTAAAAATGTTATTCCGCTGGCAAATCTGATAATCAAATACAATTTTCGAAACTAGATGTTGATCATGTTTTTCGTTGCTGTCCGATAGTGGAGTTCGCATTCCTTTTAACAATGGAAATGCACTGAACTTAAAAACATCACAAGTCAAACCGCAAAAAAATCAAAACTGAGCGTGATTAAATTTTAAGTCTTTTTCGTGAAAAAAAAAACAAAAAAAAATCAAAAATCATCACGACCTATATAAGAGTCTGAACTACGTTCATCGACTCTTAATAATGATCAACAGATGATACTTGGTTGAAAATTGTTTCAGAAAAACCTCAAATGATCTCAATTTACAAAAAAAAAAGATTCTCAACAGTCTTATTTCATGTTCACCTTGGTGAGACCAGTTTTAGTTCTGTCTCTGGCTGTCTTGAGTTCCAGTTTCTTGATGCTGGCTAGTTTGGAGAAGATGGACAGCAATTCCAGATAGGAAGTGGGAGTGACGTAGTTATGTCTGGCCAATTCGGCCAAGTACTCTTCGGATTTCTGAGCCACTCCTTGGTGGATGTTCACGCAGATTTGTTTCTAAACATACAGTTGCATGATCGAAAATTAAGTTCCGAGTCGATAACAGTTCAGCTATTCGACGATTAATTGACCAAAACAATTAAATGAATGACTTGGCAATGACTTGCTTCATTCTAAGGATGATGAATAGGTAATAAAAACGAATGTTTGCTAATATGAAGCAGCTTACCAGTCGCTTTAACAGACTCTTTAACAAAAACAGTAAGACAGTAAGTGTTTTCAGTTCAAGCGAACAAGGCAAAGTCAGAATCATTAGAACATTAATCAATAAACTTTGCTTTTTCCCTTATTACGCCAAAAATATTATCATCTAGTCAGGAAATGAATATATAACTTTTAAGCAAGGAATCAATTAATGAATCAGGAATCTTTAAGTTAATGATTCACAAGTACTGACCAGTCCGTCTATTTCATCCTCAGTGGCCTCCAGATCCCCCATATCTTGGAGGGAACTCTGTGCCACACTCTGCAGTGCCTCCTCCGGCCACTCGGAAAACCAGTCTATGGTGCAGCAGTTCACCAGGGCGGGGAACTGACGCAGCCGCGCTCGGAACACTTCACCAATCGGGCTAAAACAATTAGAGAAATCTGAAGTGGGTAGGACCGGGGTCAAAAAAGTAGGAAAAAAAGAAGCTCAACTGATCAACGGAATGTATTCTGATTTTTCTGCTCTATCCTTTAGCTTACCTTTGATTCCATTTGCGCAACTTACGTTCAATTAATGCGAAGCCACGAGAAATTAGTTTTTGTCGATATAGTTAAGCATACCCAAAAACCTTGAAGTAACTTCAGGTCACTTTTCGTCTATTGCGGTTGACTTTCAGTTCTTAGTCTCTTAAGAGATACGACAAAAACAGTATCACTATAGGATGCGATGAGCTATAACTGAGAAACTTAAAAAACAACAAAAAACAGCAACATGAAAAGAAGACAAAAGCAACATTAGGAGGAATAGAATGAGACCTACCTCATGCAGAGTATGAGGTGGAGGTTGGCGCGCACTCTCTTGGTGTAGGCTGAGAAGAGGTTGCTCTTGGTCGGCTGCTGGCCCATGTCCAGCACCAGTGGCCTCATCGCATTCAGAATGCGGTCTGGCTCGTCATTCACGTAGATGTTCGGCACATCTCCCGCATTCAGGATGTTGTTGATGTCCTCTAGGAACGAGTCGTTTTTGATCTGAAAAACCAAATCACCAATCTCCATATATGGTCATACACTCAATTACGGGTATACACTCAATTGAACATGGATCTACACTAACCAATGATTTTTACAATTCAGCTGAAACTCGGTCAACGATTCAACCATTTGAGTCATCTTTCAACCAGGAAAAAAATAACTCTATAAAGAATCAAACTCAAAAGTATGTGGCGCTACGATAAGAGTTTCTAGGCAAAAAGCGACATTTCATTGATGGGATAAGTACCACAATTCGATTCCCTTAAAACTATTCATCTTAATCATTTTGAGTTTGAATATTGCACAAATGTTTCCACGAAACTGTGGCCTTTTAAACGTGATATGTATGACTTTCAGCAGAAAAGAGGCGACGACAAGGTTCTCTAGTTGTGTAAGTGGAGCATACCTGAGTATCTGGGAAGAGGAAAACTGTCTGTTTGTTCTCCAACCCCGCCTTCATCATGATGCTCTTAAGGTCCTCTCGCCACTCAGCATTTCCGTAGTTCTTCGTCAATTCAATCTACACGCCAAAAGATATTTAACTTTTGAAGCAGCTCCAAACAAAGTTTGGTGGTAAGAATTGCAAACTTTTGGTGAGAAATACAAAGCGTTTAGAAACAAAAACTGCTTTTTTGAATGCGTGGACGTTTTAACATTCAACACTGGTCCGTATCTGGTTTCTACTCAAACTCGAAAAAGTGCAGCTTTTATGAATGGAAAGTTGTTTGAATTATTTGGTAGCTCAACAAGTTGAATAACAAATAGTTGAAACGTACTTGGAACAAGTCGTATTCTGCCATGTGAGTGGCCAGTTTGCTCAGCGACTGTCTCCCACTGCCCCCCACTCCCAGGAGGAGGGAGTTTCCCATGGGCTGTCGGATGACTCTACTGATACGACACACATGCTCCACTGCGTCCATGAACAGCACTAAGTTCATTCTGGCTGTGTTGATCTGGTTGAAGTCTTCCAGGTACTCTTTCAACACTCCACTCATCTGTGGTGAAAAGCAAAATGGCAATAGAAAACAAAAGATACACATCGCATATAATGCTCTTGCTTTTAAATTGATATTTAAACAATGCGTGATGAAAAAATTGCTTTTGAGCAGTTTTGACCTCCTAGAAGCAGGCAAAAAAATGGTTTGAATCTGTTTTTTTTATCTAAAATTAATTGAAAAATTATATTCAATTTTTCAAAAAGTTGCAATTTTTTTCATTTAAAATTGAGAAGCTGACTTACTTTCTCGTGGTCCTGTATCTCGGCGTACAGCTTCACGTCAGAGCTTGGATTCATGAAGTCTCCGTACAGAACAGGCTGTTGGTTCAGCACCTGGCTGAGTTCGCAGTTGAACTTGTCAGTGACTTTGGAGTTGAGGAGGTTGCTGAACCATGTTCTGTCCTCGACGTTGATGAGACGGTCTTGGAACACTCTGAGGTTCTCGTGGTACCAAAGACGGTACAGCTGCTCAGGAGACTACAAATGAAAACGAAACCCCCGCTAAAGCACTTGCTATTCACAAATTTGGCTCTTTTCCACTCCTGACTCTTTTCCGCGTGAATTTTCCATTTTCTTAATAGTTTCGCATGCTTTGATGCACAACTGCGCAACTTTTTTGCTATAAAGTATGAAGAACAAATTGACCAAAAGAGTGATCTCGTTCACCGTGCAAAAATCATTACATTTTTGACCGCATTAAATTTCTCATGCAGTAGTTTCATCTTCTTGAATAGACGATTCAAACAGCAAAACACCGTAAATTGATTGAATATTTTTTTTCGAAAAAGTTTTTCAATTATCGAATTTCATAGAGCAAATTAGATGACTATACATTTCAATCATTGGGTAATTTTTTATTCACAGGAGCCAACCTTTACGTCCTCTACTATTACATTGAAACACGATTTTCATTTGAATTCAATTTAGTTTACATGTGCATTTTAAATAGAAAATTGCGTGTATGCAGAGCTTAAAAAATCAGAAGTTCAAAGAAAACGAAAAAAGGTACTAAAACTCATTTTGGAGTCTTCTTGGAAAAAGCTGTTCAAATTATTGCTCCGAAATTCAAAAAAATATATATAAGCTCGGGTGGATTTTTTCATTTAGTTCAATTTTAGCGGTCAAAAAATAGCTTTCAACGAAATATTTTTTTACTTCAGTGAAAATATCGACAACCTGAAATCAAATGTAAAACTAAATTCACCATTAATCCATTTTGGTAAAACTATAAGGGTTCAAGAATTACAAAGTTGGTCATACTCTGGACTGGACCCCTTTATGCGCGTTTTTTATCAATAAATCCAAGGTGATAAAATGATTTATTGAAAAAAATGATTTCCTGAAAAATCAAAATTTTGTCCCCCCCCCCTAATTTAGGTCTATTTAAATTGAATTGAATTTTAATGTGTAAACTGCGTCAGAACGTGTCAGCATTTCCTTATTGCCGTGTGAGCAATTTTTGAAGAGCCAAAATAGATTTCAGTCGGTCAACTGATTGCAGGCTAAGAACACATTAACCATCTACTTGCGTTTGATAAAGTTTTTTTTGTAGCGTTTTATTGTTTTTGCTTGGAGGTCTTTTTACTTGTTCCGCCCAAAACCCTATATTTCAACATCTTGAACTGAAACTATTTTGCTTCAATCTGATTGGCTACAATTAGCCAATCAAATTTCAGCACCATTTCAAAATGTTTTGTACACATTACGAAGCCAAACTGTGCATTCTGTGCATTGTAAGCGGATTCCGAAACAGGCCAAAATCAGATTTGTCGTGGAATTCGCAAATTTGCTAATTTTTTTTGATCTTCTTAGCTGTTTTGGATTCCGCAAACAAACAACTAAAACACTTGCGGAATCCAGAACAGTTTCTGGAATCCACAAAAAAATAATAAGACATTTGTATAGTTAAATTGAGCTGTTGCGAATTCCGCAACTGTAAGCGGAATCCGCAACCTGTAAGTGGAATCCGCAAATTGTAAATGGAATCCGCAAATTGTAAGTGGAATCCGCATTTTTTTGCGGATTCCGTTTACATAAATGTATATATGTAGTATAGCCTTTAAAGTTATATCTTTTAATTACTGGTCACCAGAAAAATCAATCTCAATTACTACAATGATCAACTACTAGTTGAAATACTGAACGTTTGGTCTCAGTTCCTGCCAACCCAACTTCGATCTCAAATCCTGTCAACTTCGATCTCAACTTCGATCCCAAATACTGACCTACTGAACTTCGATCCCAAATACTGACCTACTGATCCCAAATACTGACCTACTTCGATCTGAACTTCAATCCCAAATACTGATGCAATACCAAATACTGACCTAATTCAGCGATATGCTGTGCGTTGTGTTTCCAAAGACTCATTGCCGTGTGAGCAATTTTGAAGAGCCAAAATAAAATTCAGTCGGTCAATTGATTGCAGGCTAAGAACACATTAACCATCTACTTGCGTTTGATAAAGTCTTTTTTCTAGCGTTTTAGTGTTTTTGCTTGGGGGTCTTTTTACTTGTTCCGCCCAAAAACCTAAATTTCAACATCTTGAACTGAAACTATTTTGCTTCAATCTGATTGGCTACAAGTAGCCAATCAAATTTCAGCACCATTTCAAAATGTTTTTTTTTCACATTACGAAGCCAAACTGTGCATTCTGTGCATTGTAAGCGGATTCCACAACAGGCCAAAACCAGATTTGTCGTGGAATTCGCAACCTTGCTAATTTTTTTTGATCTTCATAGCTGTTTTGGATTCCGCAAACAAACACCTAAAACACTTGCAGAATCCAGAACAGTTTCTGGAATCCACAAACAAACAATAAGACAATTGTATAGTTAAATTGAGCTGTTGCGGATTCCGCAACTTTAAGCGGAATCGGCAACCTGTAAGTGGAATCCGCAAATTGTAAGTGGAATCCGCAAACTGTAAGTGGAATTCGCATTTTTTTGCGCATTCCGTTTACATAATTGTATATATGTAGTATAGCTTTTAAAGTTATATCTTTTAATTACTCGTCACCAGAAAAATCAATCTCAATTACTACAATGATCAACTACTAGTTGAAATACTAAACGTTTGGTCTCAGTTCCTGTCAACGAACTTCGATCTCAAATCCTGTCAACTTCGATCTCAACTTCGATCCCAAATACTAACCTACTGAACTTCGATCCCAAATACTGACCTAATGATCCCAAATACTGACCTACTTCGATCTGAACTTCAATCCCAAATACTGATGCAATCCCAAATACTGACCTAATTCAGCGATATGCTGTGCGTTGTGTTTCCAAAGACTCATTGCCATGCGAGCAATTTTTGAAGAGCCAAAATAAATTTCAGTCGGTCAATTGATTGCAGGCTAAGAACACATTAACCATCTACTCGCGTTTGATTAAGTCTTTTTTGTAGCGTTTTAGTGTTTTTGCGTGGGGGTTTTTTTACTTGTTCCGCCCAAAAATCTATATTTCAACATCTTGAACTGAAACTATTTTGCTTGAATCTGATTGGCTACAATTAGCCAATCAAATTTCAGCACCATTTCAAAATGTTTTGTTCACATTACGAAGCCAAACTGTGCATTCTGTGCATTGTAAGCGGATTCCACAACAGATCAAAACCAGATTTGTCGTGGAATTCGCAACTTTGCTAATTTTCTTTGATCTTCTTAGCTGTTTTGGATTCCACAAACAAACACCTAAAACACTTGCGGAATCCAGAACAGTTTCTGGAATCCACAAACAAATAATAAGACATTTGTATAGTTAAATTGAGCTGTTGCGGATTCCGCAACTGTAAGCGGAATCCGCAACCTGTAAGTGGAATCCGCAAATTGTAAATGGAATCCGCAAATTGTACGTGGAATCCGCATTTTTTTGCGGATTCCGTTTACATAAATGTATATATGTAGTATATATAGCCTTTAAAGTTATATCTTTTAATTACTGGTCACCAGAAAAATCAATCTCAATTACTACAATGATCAACTACTAGTTGAAATACTAAACGTTTGGTCTCAGTTCCTGTCAACCCAACTTCGATCTCAAATCCTGTCAACTTCGATCTCAACTTCGATCCCAAATACTGACCTACTGAACTTCGATCCCAAATACTGACCTACTGATCCCAAATACTGACCTACTTCGATCTGAACTTTAATCCCAAATACTGATGCAATCCCAAATACTGACCTAATTCGGCGATATGCTGTGCGTTGTGTTTCCATACACTCTCAACCCAATGACTCCAAATATTGAACTTATTCGGTGTTGTGTTTCCAAAATACTAAAAGGTGACATCCACCGATTTAGTTAATCCTTGCCTTTAAATTCCGCATTGCTATAGATAAGAATTCCAGTTTTTGCTTTTAATTGTTCATATGCAATTTCATTAATGAACAAAATTCTGAATCCACTCCCAGTTTGCGGAATCCGCTTACGTTTGCGGATTCCGCTTACAAATTTTGCGGATTCCACTTACATTTGCCGCTTCCACTTACATTTTGTAGAATCCACTTACAGTTGTGGAATTCAAAACAACTAACTATGTTCGCTTGTTGCGGAATCCGCGGCACAACAAATGTGCCGACAAAATTTACGTTACAGGTATTTGTACGCGGAATCCACGGAAGTTTTGTAAGTGGAATCCACTGGCATTTTGGAACATGTTTAAAGGTTTGTCTATGGAATCCAGGAACATACGGACACAAAAAAGTGCCCCCAGAGTTTGGCCTCGTAATGCACAATTTTCAGTCGACTTATAAATAAGCCGAATTAGCCAAAAGCTTTGATTATTTTGAAAACTATTCAACTCTGATAAATTAACCTACAGAGTTTTACCCAGAGCAGAAAAAAAACAGAAAATAGCTACACTAAAAAAAGCCAACAATCTGCTCAAAATTCGGCCTCGTTAGAAGTCGGCTTAAGAATAAAGTGATCGCATTTGTATTAACCAAATCAATCAGTATGCTGTTCTAAGCATTTATACATTGAATATTTCAAAATCTCAACATTCAGAAAGAACTAGGCGTAATAAGTAAAAAGACTCGGCGGAGGAGAGGGAGATAACTCAATGGGTCATTACCGGGGGGATAGCTCAATTGGTCATTACGAGTGGGGGGATTGCTCAATTGATCCCCTGTTTTCGAACACGGATTTTGAGTCGAACAACATTCGTGTGTTCGACCGGGTTATGATGCTTTTTCCCATTCATGTCATGTGGTTTCGATGCTTCTTTCATTAATTTCGGATCGAATTGTCGCGCACCGGCACGGCCGTTGTTGGAGAAAAGGAAGGGAGATAAACATAACTTTAAAGAGCCGAGAGCCGGCAAGCGGGCCTCAAAGACCATTCTACTGACCCCAATCTTGGCAGGGTCCACCATGAGGATACCCTGGAACACTTTGGAGAGATCTCTCAGGTTGAATGTGTAGTGACTCTTGGCAGGAGTGGGCAGCAGAGACACCACAATAGTGTTGTACACGTCGATCGACTCTCTCGTCATACTCTCACAATTCGTCGTGCCTACCGGGCTGTTCCCTATAAAATCGTTCATGATCAGGTTAAATTCATGGCCGCATGGCCTAACGGATAAGGCGTCTGACTTCGAATCAGAAGATTGGGGGTTCGAGTCCCTCTGTGGTCGAATTTTTGACTTTAAGAATAAAGAATACAATCTATAAACTCACATGATTGAAGACATTTCTCTGAAGCGACCAATGAAAAATCGTCATTAATATATTTCAAAATATTTGCATTACAAGCACAAGTTTTTCTGTTCTTTCATTATTACTGTTCAGAGAGTGCCGTCTGAATATTATTAGAGAGACCAAATAATAATGGAAAAAGTTCGACCAATCAGAATACCCTAACGACTGCTGTTTGCTATTCGGTTAAGTAAAAAGTACCGAATGTGAATTATTTTTGGTTGTTTTCCATCCCCCTTCCACATTTGATTTTCAGTTTTGAAAAACTAACTGTACGAAGTCATAACATAATGTAATGAAAATTTGCAGTGAAAAACTAACAACTGGCCGGGTTGACCAAAAATGGTAGTCATACAATTTTCATATATGGAAAAATGCTAATCATGAACTTTTCATGCAATTCCATAAGTACAGAAAATTGCATGAAAGGTTTATGATTAGTAATTTATCATATATGGAAATTGTATGACTAGCATTTTTCCATAAACCAAAAATATTGATTTTTTACATTCTAATTTCTCAAAATTTTTTGGTTCTGTTCGTAACCGAACACAAATGACATTTGACATAAACCTTGGGTACTCAAACGTAGTAACCAAAGATTCGGTTAAGTGGAAAAGAGAGTTTTTTATTTTTATGTCAGTGGCAAGCATGGAAAAAATCCGCGAAGCGAATTGACAAATCCTGGGATGCGGACTGCAAAGATTTTTGATTTTTCGAAAAATGTGTGTTTTCTGCAGAGAATCGAATTCTGCGGCAAAAAATGAGGAAAATTTGACGAATAGGGGATTTTTTGCTGAAATCAGCTATTATGCATTTTAATTGATCAAATTTGGGGCTCATTTATAATTGGAAATCTGCATTAGTGTTTTAGATTCGCAGTGCGTCGAAATTTTTGCTCAAAACTGAAATTTTTTCATCTACTCGAACAGTTTTTTTGACAGGACAGTTTAAAATCTGATATTTTTTTGAAAAATATTGCACCTTGATTAAAAGTATTCTGTAATTTTTTTGCGATATTGTGCAGTTCCAAATAAAGTCTTTAGTCGTGTTTTAGGAGAAATTACGTACAATTATGATAGTTGAGTCCCAGGAAAAAGTAAGCATGAAAAAGCGTTATTGAAATTTTTTGTAAGATTTTAATACTTGACCCAACTATCATACTTGTACCGAGGTTGGAAATGAATTTGTTCGCCCAAAAAGGTCTGTCTACCTCTTGAGAAATCCCTAGACACACCCATGATTTACTTGTCGTATTTCAAAACTATTTTTTTTTCTAATAATGCCCGCTCTAAATTTCTTGAAAATTGATTTTTTTTCGATTTTTTGTGGATAAGAGTTGACGTGGATTGGGGCCCACGACAAATCAACATCGATTTTTGTCGACCTAAAAATTCAAATTTTTGAAAAACAAAAACCGTGGCGTGTTTCAAAACTTAATATTTTGCTTGAAAACATGTTTCAAGCGAAATTAAATGGCAATATCGAAATTCAGTCGCGCCATTAAAATAAAATGCCTCGAAAGCAAAAAAAAAATACATAATCAAATTAGATTGAGAGCAAACAACAACAACAACATTATCAAGTTATATCGTACCGAGCCAGCTGTCGAGAATGATGGAGAAGATCCTCATCTTGCTGCTGTCCTCCATCTCGGTGAAGGACAGATAGTTGAAGTGTCTCGTCAGTCGAGCAGTGATCGGATTCCTACCTCCTCCCGGGGGACCCATCGCACCCAGGAATGTGATGTCGACCAGGGTGCGGAAGGAACCGATTGCTTTGCGGTCGTACCACCCCGAGTGATCCATGAACTGTCTGATCAACTCGATCGGCGGCTGGGCCCCGTATGTCTCGAGGGCGGGCATGTTCAAGTCATCGATGAAGAAGACTGAGTTCTTGCCCAACGGAGGTCCGAAGATTCCCTTTCGTCTGAAAATTAACACAATTTGAAAAGTTTTGTATTTTGAATTGAAGAATATTTATTAGCGATGCAACAATTAGCAGGAATCAAAAACTGTCAAATTAATTTCGGATCTCTTTATCTATTTACCACTTTGGTACTTCGTAAGAATTGCCACCCCTTTAATGAACCCGTCCAACTGTTGAGCATTATGTGAATTTTGACCTAATAACAAATCTCCCCCTTTTTGCAAAATATATAGTTCCTATAGTTCCTACTTGCTGATACACATCAATCGACATTGTGAAAAGTTTATAGCTTGTAACCTTTTGTCCAGTTTGGAGTCGATGAGATCTTGAGTCTGATTGGCTGAAGTCCTGGCGGAGAAAGTGAAGAACTCAGTCACTAAGTTGGACGGCATGTTCTTCAGAAGCTTGTCCGCTATGGTCAGTGTTTTACCAGTTCCAGTCGGACCCACACACAGCAGCTGGAAATAAAAGCAACACATCTGACTGAGAGATCTGTTTAATTCGACAAATACTATTATAGCTATCAAACAAAATGGTTCAAAAATAATCAGGACTACTCATTCTCGAAGAACCAAAAAATAACTTGTTATTGTCAATTTCTTTCGTAAAAAATTCAAAGTTGATTCTCTGGTAAAATAAAGAAATATATGAGCTTGGCTGAACGATTTTGGGCTGGCAAATGTTACTTTATTCAATTATTCCAATATTTAGAAGGGATTAGTACAGAACATGATAGCTTGGTCCCTAAAACATAGATGGGCCACAAAAAATATTTAAAGGTTTGTGAATATCTGGAAACACTTTTGCTTTGCAATTGTTTTCCAGCATTTTTATACTTTTCATAAAAACAGCGGGACGAATCTTTCATAACTGTATTGAGGGATCCAATCTAGTGATGACTCACCGGTTTCTTGTTTGTGATGAGCATGTGTATGACGTATGCACTCCTGATGGTGTCCAGGGTGGGGACCATAATGTCAGAGTAGGACACTCCAGAGGGCACTGCAAACTGCTCCGCCCCTTTCATCCAGTTCACCCAAGTGATCTACTCACACAACAATGCAGCTTAATAAAAAATATGATCCGATTTATTCTAGCGTGAAATTAATGATGACTATACGTCTTATTGAAAGCAGTATGAATGCATTTAATTTGATCAAGGTTATTCTGGTGAAAAAGGATTGCATTCACTGTAACTTGGCATACTAAAATGATTACTATATATCATGACTACAGAAGAAAGTATTTAATTGAGTAGTCGTCAAGTTCGCCCCCACTTAGTGAATTCCAACAACCAATACGGTGTAAGTGAAGTCTCATTATGGAAATTTATCAATACTCAAGGAGGGTGGAAAAGAAAAAGAACTTCTGCCACAAACGAAGTTTAAAATAATTTTGGATGAAGGTAAACTACGGATGAAAATGCATAATTTAAGAAAGAGTTACGCGGCGAGGGACGTCTCCGATATAGGGAAAAGTGATGGGCTTCACAATTTCCTTCGTTGGCACTAGCTTCAAAAGACATCTAATTTCAAGTCGAGAGTCAAGACCAAAATAGAAGCAAATCAAAATACACCAACCCAAATCAACGTAGAATAAGTTTAACTTCTTTTTTCTACCTTGCACCATGGTTAACTTCTGTTGATGCTACAGCTCTAAAGTTATTTTCAATATTTTTTGACATGAAAATCGGTGCGTTGAAATAGTAAATGCGCGGCAGTTGTAAGGGTAGGAGTGGGAGGGGGCGTCAATTAGACTAAATTAGCAACAGAGGGGAGGCAGACTACCTCTGCCTTGGCGTCTTCATCCGCCTCCTCCTCTCCGGTGCCAGTGTCCCCCTGACTGAGTCCCCCGTCGTCCAACACGTAGTCATACACCAGACCCCCTTCTGGGAATGGAAGCTGCGCCTGGAATGAACAAACCATTTAAACATTGCAAGTGAGCATGAACTAATCATGAACAAACACGAATTTGCAATTTCCAAGCTATTTTTGCACTATTAAATAGTTAACTGAATATATAACAGAAAATAAACATAAAACATAAAAAAACCTGGACAAATGAAGGCTCTCCCATCATTTAACTTTCAATTCGATGATCAATTTCAGGCGTAATGTGATTTCAATGTCGAATCAAATGGAAAAACATGCAATGTAAAGTTGAGGGGGAGGGGATGGAAAAAGCGCAGTGGGATAAGTGAATAGGTGGGTACCTCGTTGTCTCTCATCTTGACTCTGAGCCAGTTGCTGAACTTCTCCCGGCTGCTCTCGTCACAGGTGCCGCCCACACTCCACACGAGGGAGAATATGAACCAGGGCTCGATCAGTTTAGGCAGCTGTTCAATCACATCCTGCGAGATTGGCTTGTCACCCTGTCAATAAATTAATAATGATACCAGCAATGTTATTTCAAACAAATTTTGGGAGCGGTGTTGAAGTTACTAAGCTTCCGCTGCTCGATCGAAAGGTCGCAGGGTCAAAGCCCACTATGATTCATACTCGCTGTGTTGTCATAAACTCTTTTCTTAAATCCCTTATTATCTAATCTTAACGTAACGAATCAACAGCTGCTTGGTATGAGATTTTCATCAAACAAGATATAGCTCCAAAAGGAAACTAAAATCGATGAATAAAAACTGAAATTAATTATTAATTAATATCAAGAGTACAACCAGCAGCGTGCCGAGGGGGGGGGGGGGGGGGGCAAAGAAAAATTTTTGAGTGCGGAACGCGCGCCGAAAAAACAAAAAAGACAAAATAGGGCCCTTATAGTATTTTCAGAGAGCTTGCCAAATCAAATTGATCGACCTAAAAAAAGGTCCGCAAAATTTTAAAAAATTTTTAGAAAATCCCCCCCCCCTAAAAAATTTCTGCGCACGCCACAGCGTACAGCTGACAAAATTTCATTGTTTTTTCGTTAAATTGAAATTTTTTTGGTGAAAGAGTGGGTTAAGCGGCCCATCTTTTTCTTTTTTGACTCTCCAAACATTTTCAAATTATTATCAAAAATGAATATATGAAATTTGTAGTAGTTGATATGGTCATGAGATTTTATCTACGTCCTATTGAATTCCAGGTAAGAATTAATTTCAAAAATAAACTTGCCTCTTTAGGTAAGAAGGGTGTGAAGAAACACTCCAGCAGCTTAAGAAGCGAGAAGGTCAGACACCCGTCGACCGAAGTGACAATCTCCTTACAGTCACTCCTGATGAACTCCACTGCCGGTTCCATGTACACATCAAACAGCTTCTCAAAAACGCTTTTCTGGTCGAAGAAGATCTCTGGCAGACGTCTTAGCCAGCAGAACACGAACGGAGACAGACCCAGGCTGCTGGGTTCCAAGTAGACCATACCACATCGACTCACTGTAGCGGGCGAAGCAACCGCCAGATCAGCCACTTCGAACATCATCGTCATCGCCTGAAGTGAAAACCAACATTCATAGGTTTGTTCTGTGGTCAATGAAACCGGGTCAATTGAGCAGTATTCTCAATAGAACCCAATAGGGGAGCCCGGGTTGGCGTCCATACAAGAAAAAATACCTATCACACAATTTCATATATGGAGTCTATGAAAAAAAGTTATCATACGATAACCATTAAAAGAAATTATATGATAAGTTTTTTTCAATCAATTTTGTAGTTCAAAAATGATCTTAATTTGGTTTTAAAATCAAATAAAACAAGTTTATGACAGATTTGTTACATGAGAGCAATTTTGCCACCAAAATTTTTTTTGTGTATAAAAATACTCATCCTATAAATTTCATACGTGAGAATTGTATGATATGCTTTTTTCCAAAAAAAATGTGAAATAGAGAAGTAAAAATTTTTTTAACCATTTTTGATTGCAAATTTGATTCTGAGCTCAAATAAATGTTTTAAAGAAAAAGTTTTGCATGCAAATGTGATATTTTGTGTCTATAAAGTAGTCTAGGTGAAGTTTGTCACACAAAAAAAAACAAAAAAAAAACTCCTAAGCCAGTGTTTTGCGAAGAAAGACAAATAGTATTTTTCGTTTTTTTTTAATCAAAATATACCTGTACCTGTAAAAAAATAGGCAATTTTTTTCAATCACTGAATTTCTCAAGAAATAGTTTTCTAGCCACATACAAACAGTTACGTTTTTTCTTTTATAGAATACTGTGTGTGAAATCGAATCTTTACAATAATTTAGATAGCGAAAATCGCCGAATGCTATTTAATTGGTTAGTATATTTTTGGGCAAAAAACAACACTTAAGAAATATATTTTTCAAACTGGATTGTCGTTTTTTTGCGTGGTGTGATAAAAAGATTTTAACGAAAAATAGAAATTAGGCATATTCGACATTCATAGTAAAATAGAACAATTGAAAAACAGTTTTTGAAGAAAAGTAATTAGAAAAACGAAGAAAAAATCAAAAAAAAATTTAAACAAAATTTTTTGCAGAAAATTTTGAATTTTTAAGTTTTTAATTCAAAACTTGGCGCTAAAAAACTCCAAAACATAACTTAACTCGAGTAAAACTAAGTTTTCACGGCGAAAATTAAGCTTAAATAAGCTAGCTTTTTTAAGCCTGCTTAGCCTCACCTTATTAGCTTGTAATAAGACTCAAAATCAAAAATTTAAAACTAGTTTTTCTCCACACTGAAAAAAATGTTTCAATTTTTTAAGTCGTTTGAAATCATTACTGAAAGGGCTTTCATAAGATATATCACTCAACCCATTCCGATGATTACTTGTGGTACCTGATTTTGTTTAAAAGAGAAAAAGAAAAAAATTAAAACACACCCGAAAACAAAGTTCCTCCACATTTTTCAAAATGTCGGAAAAATAAAATTTCGGATGCTATTTTTTATAATTTTCGTGAAAAAAAAGTCATGGCAAAAAGCTTGTTATTAAATTCCCTATTGCGAAAAAAGCTTATTATGATATTTCACTGCAAGGGAAAAACGCTTTTTTGCTATTTTTTTCTACAATGAAATTGTATGATAAACATTTTTTTCATAGCATGATATTGTATCATGAGCATTTTTGTCAACCTTTTGTCAACCCATGAGTAGGGGCGAAGTAGCTAAGTATCCGCTTGTCAGTATAAAGGCTCGAGACCCGCCCTGATGCCACGAGCGGTTCTACATAAAAAGTTGAACAGCTCGAGAGTTCTCCCTTTCCATCGTGAATAAAATAGGCCTCCATGTGGAGATTTTTTGATTTTTAAAGAACAATTATACAACATGATTTACGAATTTTCCACTGATTATGATTTATGTGTGATATTGGGTGATTTCAACGTACACTTCTTTAATAATAAAGACAATCGTTATTTACTCCTCCAAGATGTCTTTCAAGAGTTTGGTCTGAAACAAATTATAAACGAACCAACACATTGCTCTGGAAATATTTTAGACTTAGTAGCTATTACAGATGAAATAAAAATATCGCAATTAAACGTGATCCCTTTCGAAGTTTCTGACCATCATGTTATATCTTTTCTACTACCAATAAGTGTTTCAATGGCAGAACGAATTTTAAAACCTTACAGAAAATGGGACAATATTGATCTTATAGAATTAGCTGGAGAAATAGAAAGTAACTTACTGGTCAATCAAATCAGTTTCGAAGAAAACAACACAGCCATGAAGGATTTCTCTGACATAGTAGCTGAAGTTACAATTGATATTAACCCAACTAAATTTCGGCTTTTTAGAAAACGTAACTGCAAATTTTTTGACCATGACTTGCAAACGATGAAGTAAAAGCGCCGTAAGTTTGAACGAATCTTCAATAAAGTTCCTTCACTGGAAAATAGATTGACTCTGAAGAATGCCAATCTGGATTGTCGCAAGTTATTTAAAGAGAAACAGTTTGATTACTACAATAGGGAAGTAAATCGTATCAAATCACAACCAAAGAGCTCATACAGTTCTTTCAATGAAGTTTTAGGAATTGATACGAGATCAGTGCTACCCAATAATTGTTCTTTATCAGATCTGGCAGATAAATTTAATACTTTCTTTATTGAGAAAATTGAGAGCGTCATTGCTTCATTGAAACCTCATAACTTTTATTACCGTGACTCAAATGAAACATTAGCCAGAGACAAAGTGAAATTTAGTTCGTTCAATAAAGTTACTTGTGATGATATTTATAAAGCAATTGCATCCATGTCCAATGCTACCAGCCCCTGCGATTCTATGCCAACTGAGATTATGAAGAAAATTCAAAAAAGCTGGGTGCCAACTTTTACTGGCATACTGAACAATTGTTTACAGAAAGGACATTTCCCAAATGTTTTCAAGTTAGGCATTATAAGTCCTTTTCTGAAGAAAGCAACACTTGATAGAAATCTGTTGTCTTCTTATAGACCTGTTACCCAATTATCTTTTTCATCCAAAATTTTTGAGAGAGTAATCTCGATTCAATTGCTGCATCTTTTAAACAAGCTTGATATTCTCGATCCTTATCAATCAGCGTATCGTAAAGGATATAGCACTGAATTAGCACTTTTGAACACCAGTAATGACATTCTTAACAAGCTTTCAAGCAAATGCCCCGTAATCTTAGTGGCTCTTGACTTAAGTGCTGCCTTTGACACGGTCTCTCATGATATTTTATTACGCCGTCTGGAAAATTACACTGGACTTGAAGGAGCAGCTCTTGAACTTTGTAAGTCTTATTTATGTGGTCGCTACCAGGCAGTTAAAATTAGTAGCTGGTTATCTTCGACTGAATCTGTGAAAAATGGAGTTCCCCAAGGATCCATATTAGGTCCTCTATTTTTTAGCATTTACCTTTTACCTCTACGGTCTCTCTTTTTATCTCTTGATTTGAATTATCAAATTTATGCGGATGATGGTTTAATTTACTTATCAGCCGCAGATTTAAATAGTTCAGTTGATCATCTGAATGCAAGTCTAGTCAAAATTACCAAATGGTTTGAAATGAATAATTTGAAAATAAATTCTGATAAAACAGAAGTTCTGTTTGTTGACAGGAAGGTTGCAAGAGAAATAAACATACGTGTTAATAATGAAATTATCAAATCAGAAGACACACTTACAGTGCTTGGTTTTATTTTTGATTCCAAATTTAACTTACAACGACAAATCAATTCTGTTTGTAGCTCGGCCTATTACATTCTGCGGAAACTTTTTAGCATAAAAGCTTTCCTTTCTTTTGAGACCCGACATTTACTCTGTCAATCCCTTATACTTAGCCGCCTTGACTATTGCAATAGCCTATATTTTGGTTTACCCAATTACCTTTTGATGAAACTGCAGAAAATACAAAATTCAGCTGGACGATTTGTATTCCAACTCAAGAAAGGAACACCAACCAGCCCTTATCTACATGATCTACATTGGTTACCAGTCTCGAAGCGAATTGAGTTCAAACTACTGTGCATTGTTTTCAAAGTACTAAACCGAAACTATTTATGTCCAGCATTTTTAAGAGACATACTCAAATTAAAACAAAATAGCTATAGCTTGCGTGATGGTCCAAAATTGGTAGTACCCAGAGTTAATTCAAGTTTAGGTAGAAGATCTTTCAGCTATTGTGGAGCAAAACTTTGGAATTCACTGCCCCAGAAAATGCGAGAAGAAACGGACTTTCAGTTATTCAGAAAATCACTGAAGACACATTTATTCAGATCTCATTATTACACATCGGCCACGTACTAAGGAGACAGACAAAACAAACACCTTTGAGTACCAAAAAGGGTGTATAATCCAGCAATGATGATGATGATGATGAATAAATCAAAAAGCTTTTACTATGACATTTAAAATAAACACTTCTATAAATTCTCTAAAAAGTTTTAATAATAATCTCACGAAGCCATTTAGCTTCATCTTCATTATAACACAGGCAACAGAGAGTTGAAAAAGTTAATGATAGCAAGGAAACAGAAAAAAAAACTGTTCAAAGAAAATCAAAAAAGAAATTCAAAGAGCCAAAAAGTTCTTCAAATTTCAAGAACAATTTATGGTCAATACTTTTTGTGAGAAAATCAACTCAATTTGAGAAAACTGGATCAATATTAAAGCTTTAATTCCGCTGGTAAATCTGAAAATCCATATCCACTTTCAAAACTAGAAATCAATCACGTTTTACGTGACCTTTACACTTTCGCTGTGCGATAATGGAGCTTGTCCTCCTTTTAAAAAAGGAATCGAACTGAACCTAAAAAAATTAAAAGCCAAGTCGCGAAAATGTAATTTTGAGCCTGAAGAAATTTTAAGACTTTTTTCTAGAAAAAAATTATCACGACTTCTATAAAAGTCTTCATCGACTTTTAAAACAGAAATGATGTTTCATCTAATAGTGATTATTTACCTCGGTGAGTTTGATGATCTCGCCGGAGCTCAGACAGAGCTTCTTGTTGTCATCCAGCACTGTGTTCATGTTCTCGATCCAGACGGCGTCCACTGGCCCGTCGAACATATACCACCTCTTGTCATCATTCTGAGCTGTAGTCCCGATTCGGATCAGAGACGACAAGATCCCATCAGTCCTAAATCAGGTTCCTTTACATTTCTGGCATCTGTCCATTCACGTATGAACAATTAGAAACCAAGTTAATTTTACAATTTTACGAGGGATGGGAAACTGAAAAGCCCTAAGCATTTATTAACAATGTAAACAGAGAAACAAACTGCCTCATGATGGCTATCAGATCTATCAACTGAGCTACCGACGGCTGTTCGAAAACCTTCACAAATATTTAATCATAATGATAATAATAATAAATTGGTTTCAGGCAGAAAATACTCAAAAGTACACAAAACATTTAAACAAGGCTGCTCGTTTCAGGGCGAATTCCTGAATGTTCTGACTGCCTTTTAAAGTCTATGAAGCAGTAATAACATGAAAAAATTGAAGGTAAAAAAAGAAAAAAAATTGACAAAAATTTTGTAAAAAAAATTTGCGATTTTTTATGAAAAATCATCCCCCCCACACACCATATAAAGAACAAAAGTGATAAATTTCGCTTCTAGCAACAAATCAATTATGGCAAAAAAGCTTCCTTCAACCAATTTGGAACGATTTCTAAGACGGATTAAATCTACGCTTACGCTTTAATAGCGCAAAATATATCGCGCGTTAATTGTCCCAAATTGGCCAAAACGCCAATCTTTAAACCCACATAACTTTACGAAAAAAGATCACAGGAGAAATATCTTTTCAAATTTAAGCTCAAGACAACAATATATTTTGAATGATTTTCAAAAAAAAATCCGTCAAAAATGGCTAGTTAAAAAGTCGAAATTTGTCTGAAGAAAAAAAACCATCACGAGCATAAATAATCCGTTACTTTCGCATCGAAGGAACAATAACTTCATTTATTAGGAAACAGCAAGACTGCTCGCATCAGGGCGACGTCCTGAATTTTCTGTCTGCCCTTTAATGCCTATTTTCTCAATTTAAATGAAAGTGAAGAAAAATTTGAAAAAATGGAAAAATTTGATTAATTTTTTTTGGAAATCATCTCCCGCACGCTAATTAAAGCACTAAGTACTTTATTTAACATTAAATAACATATTAATAAGAAACAATAGCACGCGTCAATTCAATTTGGAACAATTTTCAAGCCGGATCAAATCACCGCTTACGCATTAGTAGCGCGAAATAAATCGCGCGTTAATTATTCCAAATTGACAACTTATAAATCCCCATGATTTAACAAAAAACGATCACAGGTAAAACATATTTTTTAAATTTGAGCTCAAAAAAGCAATACCACAAAAATTGCTAGTTTAAAAGACGAAGTAGGTCTGGAGGAAAGACTCACCCGAGCACAAATATTTCGCCATTTTCTTTGAAAGTAGTCGGAACAGAAATGTTCTGAAGTTAGGAAACGAAATGTTCCGAAAATGAATATTAAAATCCAGCAAAATCAAAAAGCCCGAATTTCTCCTCTGTCGCCCTAGACTCGAACCATTGACCTAATGATATAAACACATTATACAATGCTCCGCTCTGCCTACTGAGTTATCGGCGGCTGTTACAAAAACTTCTCGGTAGACAAAGGATAGGGGTGTCCTGGTAAAATTGAGAAAGAGGTTCCAAGATTGAGAGAGAGGTTCTATAAAACACTAATTTTAAGCAAATACAGCAATTAACTAAATCAATATGCGCCGGTCGGTTGTTTTAACATTTTTTCTCAAACGTAATTAACCTGGCTCATTTGCGCTAACTTATTCGATACTTTTCTTGACAACAACGAAGCAATAAATGGAACAATTTTGAGGCACTTTATTTAAATCAGGAACCCAGTTGGTTTGTCGGGACCCCTCTATCACCCTTGTACCAATTTCTCGAATATTTAACAATTTTTTTTAAGGAAACTGAAAATGTTCAGAAGTTATAAAGCAAAAATTTCAAAATGAATTTTAAAATTAAGCAAAATGAAAAACGTAAATATCTCCTCCGCCGACCCGGACTCGAACCAGGGACCTAAGGATATCAGCACTTTCTACAGTCCTCCGCTCTACCAACTGAGCTATCGGCGGCTGCTAATTATTAATCAGAAATAGCTATCGAATTTTCGTTGACAAATTTGGTCGGTCACCAGCAGTAAAAATTGATAATCCATCTCTTCTACGACTTATACAAATCTTTTGTGAACATTTACATGCAAAATTTTTATTCATGTAATCCATTGTTAGTTAGGATAGTTCTGACTGTAGCCACATATTTCCATGCGCCGTAAAACCGATGCTTACAACAGATGTTTATAAAAACACTATTATTTTGAACCTTATTCATGAAAATCAGAAGAACCACTCACCATTCATGGGTTAGCAGATCAAATTCTCCGTACAACTGACCCATCGTAATTGACTTAGGATTCAGCACATATGTATGTACAGCCTCATATTGACCTCCGCCAATAGCTGGCTGACCTTTGAGCGAGGTCAAGGCCGCCTGCAGAGTACTGTAGCACTTTGTTTTCCCGGAGCAAGTCGGACCCACCAACATGAGTCCGTGTCGCACCACTGTCGTTTCGTATAACTGGATACATTTGAGGACGAATGCGTCGACGTCTTTTAAGTCTTTCTTGTATAGACAGGTCTTCCGAAGAGCGCTGTCGAGGTCTCCATAGTCGATCGACTCTTGCCTGAAAACATTTTGTTAAAATTAAGTTAGGTATGAAGAAACTCTAAAAATGAAAGCTGAAAAAGATTGAAAATATTGAAAATTGGGCACTACTGTTGATTGACATGGTATCAAAAACTGTTAAATAGTGAATGAAAAATTGCAAAATATCGTTCGTGTAAATTATCCATACATCCATCCAGACATACACATTTAAACTTCGCTGATTCCTGATTTGATCATGCGCCAATTTATCACGCAAGTGAGCGGGTTGAAATGTCTCTGATTCCTCAGATTCAGTGTACTACATAGTGACACTCAGTGTAGTATAAAAACAATGCGCCACAAAAATACACGAATACTATACATTGTTCGTTAAAACCCACGGATTCCGCGGAATTCATCGGAAAAACGTATGTTGCGGATTCCTTGACATCGTAGTATTGACACCGCATGTCGCCACTGAAGATATTTGGTCACGGATTCCGCAACAGGTTTTTACCAATCCAAGCAATAAAGCATGTGCACGGAATCCGTCTACTTGCAAGCACAAAATGTGCTATGCAAAAACGACACACCTAGGCTTCGTGATGCTGGAACCGATGTAATAAAAATCTCATTTAATTGATGTCTATGTAGAATGTAGTCTATGGTGAATAATGAAGTTGGATCGAACCTTGATAATGACTTTACCTGTTATCACTAAACGTAGATCAAATTTTTCAAATAAACGTAGAACATTTTTTTAAACGATCTCAAAACAAAATCTCAAAAAGCTAGTTTACAGCGCGTATAGTTTTTGGATGTCGGTTCAATAGAAAATTATAGATTTTTGAGTTTCTCTATTTTGACATTATGATACTCAAACATTGGGAAAAGATATGCCATACTAATTTTTTGCCAATTGATTGGTGTGAGAAAGAGAGAGAGAGAGGAGAGAGACAAAAGGCAAAATTTACAGATAGAATATTACTTGAACAACAGTGAAATTTTACATCTCTAAGCCAAACAAAGAATAATAGCGGTCGATAACTCACTTGATTCCAGGGAAGAGATCGGACACGACTCCGTTGAACAGTTTGAGATCGTCCACCAGGAACTTGGGCACATTGACGTCCCTGATGGCCCTGAGACAGATGAGCTCCTCGTCCATCTCGGGATGCTCCCTCTTCAGATTACCCGCAGCACTGATCACAGTCTTCACCGCACGCATCCCAAAGTCATAATGGTCCTGCCAACATTACAATCCAATTCGTTCTTCAACAAATCAGTTCAATGGGACCAAGTGAACACTCTCCCTCCTTAACCAGTTTAGAAACGAGACCGTTCACTTGCTTAGGATCAATCAGTGGTCGTTAGGTTGTTGTTGTTTTTTAGTTGTTTATATAAAAAGCCGAATTAAAGGCTTCAAAGCAAAAAAAAAAACACTTTTGACAAAATTTATGTCAAAGCATGCTCTGATGCCGCTTTCATTATTCTGTAAACATACTGAACCGTAATCTGAATGAAGTTTTAATTCGGGGTTTCATTCTTATAAGCAACCAAACTTGGAAGCGTTGATTCGTCAAAGAACGTATATTCTTAAAATCTATGGTATGAGAAAAAAATCACTGAATTTGTTCGAGAAACGCAGCTTCATCTTCAAAAGCTGTGACCACAACAACCATCGACAAATACCCACTTCAACAAGAAGCGACACTAAAGGTCTCTAAGATTTTTAGCAGACCTGGGAACTGAGCTGTTCGGAGGATAGTTTGAACGTAGTCGTGATTTTGTTCGCCAGTCCACGTGCATTGTCAAATCCGAAAGAGTAGAGAGAGATCTCCGCGATCATAGTGTAGTTGGGTACCATCATCGCCACTGGTCGGAATAGTGCCTGAAACGTGCAAAAAAAATAATTAAATCATTAATTGAACTTTTTTATGCTTGAATTTGGAACTTTAAACTGTATCTAAGAACAGCCGCCGATAGCTCAGTTGGTAGAGCGGAGGACTGTAGTGCGTACTGAGATCCTTAGGTCCCTGGTTCGAGTCCGGGTCGGCGGAGAACTTGTTTTTGGCTCTTTTCAAATCTTTCTAAGCGTCGGATTGTTCCGGAAATCATTCGATCTCCGTCATTAGGTTTTTACCATCATATCTATTTTTATTGGTTGGGATAAACAACAGTTTTTATCAGGCATTCAGGCTTGAAGTTGAACGGCTCTTTTTCTGTTCTATTCCCCTTCCGCAAGGGAAATTTTCCAGAAAATTTCCACTACATCAAGTATTGGAAAACATAATGAGGCCAAACTGTGCATTTAGTGCATTGTAAGCGGATTCCGCAACAAGGACGCTCCCTTTGTTCTTCTTTTTTTCTTCACTTTCCTTTGATCGTTCCGACCAAATTTTACCATGTTTAAAGACGTGTCTCCGGAATCCAGGAACATACAGACACAAAATTGTTCGCCTATCCAGTGCACAGTTTGGCCTCTTTATGAAAAAACACGTTAAATTAATACGTTTTTCTCAAATGATGTCAAATGTCAGAAGAGAAAAGCACTCCTGAAAAAACAACCGACAGAGTTGAATTATCATTCATAAAAAATGATCGAGCGCCACCTAAGCCGACAATACTTGATTAGGCAGAAAACAAATAAATCATTTAACCGAAAACAAAATTACAAGAAAAAAATTGAGCTATAGAGTTTTGCTGCTTTCCCCTTCCTGAAAAACAAAAAAAAACATATATTTTTGCTTATAAAACGACGCAATTCAAAATGACTAAAGCGATATCACATTTGCCGAAACCATTCAATCCGGTTAAACCGGTTGAGCAAAAACAAAACATTGAAAAAGCAAATAAAAAGTCACAGGAACGAATCAAAACGCTTTCTGTTTTAGCGAAACTTGCTTGAACCAACAAAAAAACCAACCAAAAAATTCAGCAAACAAACAAAAATCCAATAATATAAAAAAACATTTTATGAAAAATCAGCTCCTGGCAAGAATCGGCAAGCTCTTTGTCGTCTAAAGCATGGACGTTGCTAACTCCACTCTGAACAGGCCAATAACCATTACAGATTCACCATTATAGTGAGATTAACAACTGATTCAGCGAAACCCAAAAAAGTCTACATTCTGATTTGATAACCCTTGCTAATCGCAAAAGGCAAAACCACTAGCAAAACGATAGTTGTATTGCAAAATGAAAACAAAAACTTAGCCAAAAACAGTTCAAAAATTTTCAATAATTTCAAGGAGAACCGGAAAAAATAGACAGATAAAAAGAACCCCATTAGAACTAAGACTGACTCAATTTTTTCGCTAGAAAATCTTTTTTTAAAATCCATTGTGGAAAAAACTTGAAGTCAAATTCTTTTTTGCGCAATATGCATTATATGCAATATGACTTCCAGAAGAAGAACTTGCCCATTATTTTAAGCAAACGAAATTGAACTGAACTTTAAAAGAAATCAATAGTCAACGAGCAAAATTTGTTTTTTTTTCTAGTCAGCCCGGAGACCTATCCCGAAGATTAATTATTTGAGCGCATATAACCATCTCCCATAGTAAGCTATGACTTGCATACAAAAGCTCACCTTGCAAATTGCAGCGCACGTGCGATTTGAACCCGCAATCATATGACCGCTGGGCACCATCACTACTGGAGCGCCACAATGCCGAAAAATGAGCGTCAGCAACTTTCAAGACTTTTACCAGAATAAAACAATTATGACCTAAATAAATGTCTTCATTTCGTTCCTTGACATTTTTTAACCATAAAAAAAATTTAAATTTAGACAGATCGCAGTATAAAAACACACTTCATACCTTCAAGTTATCTGGCAGTTCAGTCCTGCCTGCATATCCAGGGTTCATAGTGATGAACACGGCACAGCTTTGCTTTAGAGCCAGTTCTACACCCTCGAACTGGAATCGGTCCAGCTTCTGCTGCTGTGCACGCTGGATGGTGGCGATCTGCTGGGCCACCACAGACAACACCTCAATGTCGATTCGGTTGAACTCATCGAAACAAGCCCATGCTCCCGAACTAAAGAGGAAAACCACATGTTCACAATGGTAGGGCGACAATTCGTAAAAGGAGACAATTCGTAATAAGCGACAATTCGTAACAAGACGTTGGCAAGTAGAATACGCTTGCTCCGCTGCGCTCACATCCGACACGAGAGGAATAGTACACGTGAATTAGTGTTCATGCTTAGTCTACTGTTACGAATTGTCGCTTGTAACGAATTGTCGACTCACGGTTCACAATAAATTAATTCATAGTTTTACTTTGCATGTTCGCATCTATAAAAAATCAAAAGATTCAATGAAGGCTTAACAGAAAATATCATAGGTTTTTTAAAATGCAATCAGTCCGTCGAATGCACAAGGATGGCGTTAAGCAAATTGATAATGATTAACAAATGGCGTGAATGTAAAATTTTTTTGATCATTCTTTGATCTCGACATGGTGCAGCGAATGTAATTAATAACATTGCTGCAGTTTTGACAAAATTTGAAATCGGAAAATTATCAAATGCAGATAAGATAGAAACATTGGTTAATTTTTAGCTTTGCAACTAGTTATTTTATTTTGTGTAAAAAATTGACACTTGAACCAATTTTGCCACTGACCTTGCCAGACCCTTGAAGAATTTTCCCATAGCAAGGTAATCCAATTGGTCCGAGCAGTTGAACACCACACACTGGATGGCGAAAGCTTTGGCCAGATCTTTGGTCGTCTCTGTCTTTCCAGTTCCTGCGGGGCCCGCGGGAGCACCACCAAACTGCAGGTTGAGGGCACCTAACAAAATGAGCCACATACGCATGCATTACTTTTTCGGAATTATTTTAGGAATAAAGGAGCAAATAAATTTACTGTTATTTAGGTATTTTGATTATTTTAATTCATTGGAAAGTTTGCGTTCGAAATCAAATCGCTCATTCTTGAGGTTTTGATTTGGCGCTTTGACCTTGAAAATGCAAACTATACTTCTCGTAACCCAGGTGACCTAAGAACGAATCATGCGAGGTGAGGTATTCACGCTTCTTTAATGACATGAATCTGATTTAATTAAACTTTTCACTCTTTAGCAGATTGATGGGACTGGGACTGTGATGATGAATGTACCTGTGAGGGTGAGGTAGCATCTGTCTGTGAGTGGAGTGACCACCAGTCTCCCTGTGTTGCCCAGATACTCGTAGCCATAGTTGAACTTGGCATTCACAGCCATAGTGTACATGTCCCCGTCCGGGTTCACATCCGTCAGCCAGTAATACCTGTCATCAAACACCTCGATTTGAAGTTACATTTGAACGATATAGAGAACTATTGGTTCTTATAGCCAACAAAACAAGTAAACTCAAAAAAAAACCACTAAACAACGAGTGTTTATTTTTGGTCCGAGTCTTGAACTTTGAAACGGGTTACCGAAAAGGAAAAGAACTTTGAATTGGGCTTTTTCCAGAAGCCGTAAAATATGTTATAGAAAGAGGAGCATTTCGAACCCTGACGCGGACTGGAAGAAAAAACTCTGAGAAACATTTGTCGACATCGAGAATAAAGTCTATATATTTTTGCTTCCCAGGCTAATGTGATGTCATTTCGATTTTCAATTGAAATAAATGAAACCATTTTAACATTAAGAACAGAGATCGCAGCAATTTTTGTTTTTTAATTAAGCTAAATTTATTATTTGTTGATGTATAATGTAGATATAACTGTATTCGAAGCTTTCTTCACTATTTTTAGAACCACTGGCTATTCTTGTTTAAAATTTTGAGTGTCGATTCACAACAGAAAACCTCGTAATCGAAGTCATAGGACAGCCGGAACGTTCTAGACCTAAATCTAAAAAATGGCCGAGTTTCATGCTGAGTTAGAGATTATTTAAGACATAACATGGACTTGTTTAACCTCAGTTGTGAGATCCATTCGAAATCATTCACACTTTGAACATCTTCATCGACCAGAGTAGCACACACGTCTCTAGCATGCACTTCGATGACAATCAACGCCGACAAAATCATGCGGCCAATCTTGGTCAACTTGCCCCTGACCAATCCCACCAAGTCCTTGATCTGATCTGACAGCTTCTGCAGTCTCCCGGGTAGGTCGTGCTCCTCGATGGAGCCGGATACCTCTTCGGTCCAGAATGTCTGGGCTCCCGCAATTACCACCTGACCCGGCCAGTTGAGAACCCACTCAGTACGAGGTCTCTGAAATGATTAACATGCCAATCAATTATTACCCTTGCGATAATTACAACTTCGGTTTGATTGAAGTAAATAATATGGAACTTGAATAAGAAAACGTTACTTCAGTTCGGTCATGATTACCCTTTTGATGTTTCATAATTTACTACCGAAAAATTGGTCACCTGCTTATAATCAACCAACGACTGCTTCACTTGATCCCTGACTGAATCCTTCATCAAGTCCTCAATCTTCAACATCCAGTCTTCCACATTACCCTCTGGGTAGATATGTCTGCAAAAGGGCACATTCTCCCCCTCTCCAGAGTACATACTCGTGATTTTCAAATCATCGTGGAATTCCAGTTTGGCCACGTTCTCGAAACACTTCCTCAGATGAGGCTGCACAGCCGTGGGATCCTTGGTCTGCGAAAGAATCTCGAGGAGCTCATCGTCTGAGAGGAAGTAGAATCTCGGGAACGAGTTCCGCTTCGTCTCCAGGTACTCGCTGAGTCCTTTCTGTACTTGGTCTAGCAATTTGTTGCACTCTTTGAGGTTCTCAAGTTTACGAGGTTCGGGGCAAAGTTGGATAACCTATAAAATTTCCAGTAATACCTATTGTGACTTGGGTTCTTTCTTATTATAGTCCACATCAATTTCTAGACCCCTAAATTAAAAAAAAAATCATTTTGTTGGGGTAAAATTCTTTTGTTGGGGCATTAAAATCATAATGTTGGGGTAATGAGCCAAGACTTAAATCTTTTTTCCCAGGCTCTCACGAGGTCTTCGAGCGTACCGACTAAAATCGGACAAATGTAATTTGGAAATCCTGTATTTTTGAGTCGACCAATTTGAAATAAAATTAGACATACACAAATTTTGTCGAGCTAAAAATTCAACTCCGCACAAAATATTTTGTTGTTGAGCTATTAAGATATCTTTCTAAGCCTACTATTTCTTATTCCATTTTTATTCTATGGACACAAAATTAAAATATCATTTTTTGAGTCCCATCAAAGATGATAATTTATTTTATAGGCATATTGAAAGTTAATGAAAATTGCCACTCTTGTCATCATAGTCCTTTATTAGAAGCTGATTCAAATTGATTTGTCCCTTATCACTGTGATATTTTAAATGATTTTCAAAATAAACAAGACTGCTCGTACCAGGGCGAAGCCCTGAATGTTCCGACTGCCTTTTAAGGTTTATGGAGCAGTAATAACATTAAAAAATTCAATGAAATAAAACAAAATCAAAAAAAAAAATTTCCAAACTTTGAAATTTTTTATGAAAATCATCCCCCCACACGCAATATAAAGTACAAAAGGATAGATTTTGCTCCTTGTAACAAACCAATTATGGCAAATAAACTTCTTTCAACCAATTTGGAACGATTTCTAAGACGGATTAACTCTCCGCTTACGCGTTAATAGCGCGAAATATATCGCGCGTTAATTGTCCCAAATTGGCCAAAATGGCAATCTTTAAAACCCCGTAACTTTACGAAAAAAGATCACAGGTAAAATATCTTTTCAACATTGAGCTCAGGACAACAATACCTTTCGAATGATGTAAAAAAATTCCGTCGAAAATGGCTAGTTAAAAATTCGAAATTTGTCTGAAGAAAAAAAACCCACCCCGAGCACAAATATTCCGTTACTTTCGTATCGAAAGTCGGAACAACAAGAATAGCCCGTTGCTGTGCAACTAGCATTGAAAGTTCCGACCACAATGAAAAAAAAAACGTTTTTTTTTAAATTGATTCGTTTTTGATCGATGTATCATGGGAGCATCTTAAGGAAATCTAGAACTTTGATAACAATAGTAAATAAGGTACATTAGAAAACATATTTCCTCAAAGAAGAAATATTTTAAGAAGTTTTGCGAATTTTTTTTTTTTATTTTTGTTCCGACTTTCGGTACGAAAGTAACGGAATATTTGTGCTCGGGGTGGGTTTTTTTTTCTTCAGACAAACTTCGACTTTTTAACTAGCCATTTTTGACGGAATTTTTTTAATATCATTCGAAAGGTATTGTTGTCCTGAGCTTAAAATTGAAAAGATGTTTCACCTGTGATCATTTTTCGTAAAGTTACGGGGGTTTAAATATTGCCATTTCGGCCAATTTGGGACAATTAACGCGCGATATATTTCGCGCTTTTAACGCGTAAGCGGGAGAGTTAATCCGTCTTAGAAATCGTTCCAAAGTGGTTGAAAGAAGCTTATTTGCCATAATTGATTTGTTACAAGGAGCGAAATCTATCCTTTTGTACTTAATATGGCGTGTGGGGTGATGATTTTCATTAAAATAATTCCAATTTTAGAAAAAAAGTTTTCATTTTGTTTTATTTCATTTAATTTCTTAAATGTTATTACTGCTCCATAAACATTAAAAGGCGGTCGGAACATTCAGGGCTTCGCCCTGGTACGAGCAGTCTTGTCTAATTTTAGTCCCAAAAAGGCAGTATAATGCATTCGAAAAGTAGTTTTACTGGATAAGAACTAAGCAAGTTTTTACGACCTAACTTTGTTTTCAAGACTACTATAATAAGCTTACTATAAGCCTAATAAATAAGTCTATTATATTCGCTAGCTCGAAATAAGACCAAACCTCAAAAACTTCACACCGGTTTTTCACATTTTGAGCAATTTTGTTTTAAATTTTTAAATCTGTTCAAATAAAAACTGAAAGGACTTCAACTTGATACATCATTAGACCAATCACGATGTTTATTTGTGGTACCTAATTTTGCGTGGAAAACAAAAAAATTGAAGAAAGAATAAACACACCCGAATACAAAGTTCCGCACGCACCATTTTCAATGGTCGAATAGACCTTTACCAGCTCATTAGTGATGATTGAATGAATACCTGTGGCTTTTCCTTGGCCTCTTTCATGAGTTTCCTCCACATGCGCTCCATGGTCTGGTACCTCTTGCCCTCCACCGGCAACTGGCGGTTGATGTCATCGCTGGAGAAGATGGGTTCCAGATACAACCAAGACCTCTGACAGTTCAGCCACTCGTCTAGCACGTCCTGAACACAGAAAACCAAGTAATAAAAATATGTGAAGTGATCAAAGAAAACAATTCTGTGGTCAAGATGACTAAACTGCAAGCAGTTTTTAGAATTCATAACTTCGGTTCGAAAGTTACAAAAAGTTGTTAAAATTTGACTAATCTTATATCCTTGGCAAGGTTTTTCTTAGTTAGCAGGTTACTTGATCAATCCTTCCTGTTCGATTATTGTTATAGCATAATCGAAAGTTTGAAACTTTGTCAACATTGTATATAAAAATTGTAGGCGTCTCTTGGAGGGCGTTTTTTTAATTAAAAAAAACGAAAGCGCATCAAGTAAGACCAAAACTGGTAAGCATGAAGACTCCCTAGCAATTGTCACAATACTAAGTTACCTGTGTGAGTCTCATCTTGGTCTCCCAGCTGTTGATTCTGTCCTCGAATGGCTTCTTGAAGGGCGAGAAGGACATGCTCTGAGTCATGACTATGTGGTCATCCAACAACTGACTGCACTCCTCATTACTCTTCAGAATGTAAGTGCCACTGTCCTTATAAGGCATCACTTCGAACGAAATAGGCGCCCAATCTTTCTCCATCTTGTTCAGTGCCTAAAACCACACACCAGCTGCAGTTGTTTCTTTGGTAGAAAACAAGGAAAAACTCACGCCAAGTTGTACCAAGCAAACATTTAAATTGAGACCATTTAGCCGAAGGAATCACCCGAGAATCTTTTATCAGAAAACATAATTATTTTCGCTGTTGCAATGTTTCACCAAATCAAATGATTGTCCCCCTACTCCTCGGGGATTAGATCATCTGCCAACAAAATTTTAGATTTTTTTGAAAACCTTCCCCTCTCCCTCGAGGAAATCCAAGACCCGCCTCTGATTCCACTAGAATTTTCAGAGTGACCAAAATTTTGGTTATTGCAATTATTATTTTGAAAAGCAAAAATTAAAAAAAAAATTGAGCAAAAGTTATTTCGTTTTAGCATTAAAATAGCAGTTAAATGTTCCAATGAACTACCTGTTCAATGGCATATTCTTTTCCCGCCACTTCTGCAATTTTGGCTATCGTCTCGATGTGGTTCTGCAAGTTCATGTCCAAACACTTGCTGAATGTCAGCGTCTTTTTCGGGATGACCTTGAACCCGAGATCATCCGACAGTTTCTCCCAGTGGCGCATGCGCATACCTGGATTCCTGAGACCCTGGATAAGGGGTATGTAGGGTTTGAACTCTTCAATTTGTTGTTTGAAGTCCTGGGCCACGCTTTGTACAGCTGAAATAAATATACACACTTTTCGCTCCAACTCTTTGGAACTACAAAAATTTCGCCACTAAGCGGTTACATAGAATCTTGCGCTTAAATCTGAACTAAGAACGCCGTAATGCTGAACTTCCCACGCCGCGATAACTCAGTTGAGAGAGCGTTAGAGTGAAGATCGAAAGGTCTCTGGTGCGCTCCCGGGTCGCGTCATGGCAGATTAGCAGAAAACGAACGTGAGAGAAACCTGACAACACTTCTTTTTAATTGGAAGTCTGTCAATGAGCTATCAGACTAATTGCAGTTAGCAAAAATCAGTGAAGGGACTAAGGGTCTTAAAGAAGAATTTTTTAACTCAGATTTGGAAAAACTTATCGAGAAAAATCTGATTAACTGTGTAAAAGAGACATTTCAAAATATGGAATATTTGCATTAATGAACCAAACAAATGTAGCTGGAAACTTTATTAGCCAATTTCAAACCCCGATTAAGAAGAACAGAGTAAAACCAAAGCTACGAAACTACTCAATCTTATGATTTACAAAACAAACTTATCCTCAGAAAATCTAACCGCAACCCAAAAAAATCACCACTTAGCGGTTATATAGTATCTTGCACTAATATGCGAAATAAGAACGCCGTAATGTTGATCTTCCTACGCCGCGATAGCTCCGTTGGAAAAGCGTTAGATCGAAGAACTAAAAGTCCCTTGATCGATCCCTGGTCGCGGCATGCAAAAATTGAAAAAAAAAACCTGACAGAGGACATTTATTTATTTTTCATTACAAGTCTGTCATTGCGTTATCAAAACAACCGCAGTTACAAAAATCAAAGAAACTCAGATTTGGACAAAAAATTACTTGAAAAAAATCTGATTAACTGTATACAAGTGACAATTCAAAATCGAAATGGTTTTTTTTAATGAGATCAACAAACATAGCTTAAAATTTTACTTGAAATAAAATAATTGAAAAAAAAAAACGCGAAAATGTAAAAAACTGAAACTTCAAACTCGAAACAATTGCATTATTGAACCCAACAAATATAGGTTGAAACTTTTTGGCCAAAGTCAAACCCAGAAACCGTAGAACAGAGTAAACAAAAGTTACGAAACTACTCACTCTAGCGATTTACAAATTAACTCATCCTCAGAAATTCTAACCGCAGCAAAAAAATCAACACTTAGCGGTTATATAGTATCTTGTACTAAAATATGAACTTAGAGCGCCGTAATCTTCAACTTCCCAAGCCGTGATAGCTCAGTTGGGAGAGCGTTAGAGTGAAGATCTAAAGGTCCCTGGTGCGATCCCGGTTGGCAGCAAGTAAAATTTAATAAAATGAATTTGAGAAAAAGCTGACAACAGTGTTTTTCATTAGAAAGCTGTCATTTTCTAACTCAAATTTGGAAAAAACTAATTGAGAAAAAGCTGCGAAAATGTAAAAAACTGAAATTTCGAAATCAAAATAATTCCATTATTGAACCCAACAATTATAGGTTGAAAATTTTTGGCCAAACTCAAACCCAGAAACCGTAAAACAGAGTAAACAAAAGTTACGAAACTACTCACTCTTGTGATTTACAAATTAAATTATCCTCAGAAATTCTAACCGCAGCAAATAAAATCAACACTTAGCGGTTACATAGTATCTTGTACTAAAATATGACCTTAAAACGCCGTAATCTTTAACTTCCCAAGCCGTGATAGCTCAGTTGGGAGAGCGTTAGACTGTACATCCAAAGGTCCCTGGTTCGATCCCGGGTCGCGGCAAGTAATATTTTAAAAAATGAATATGAGAAAAAGCTGACAACACTGTTTTTCATTAGAAAGCTGTCATTTTCTAACTCAGATTAAGAAATAAAATAATTGCAAAAAAACGCGAAAATGTAAAAACTGAAATTTCAAACTCGAAAGAATTGCATTATTGAACCCAACAATTATAGGTTGAAAAATTTTGGCCAAATTCAAACCCAGAAACCTTAGAACGACGTAAGCAAAAGTTACGAAACTACTCAGTCTTGTGATTTACAAATTAACTTATCCTCAGAAATTCTAACCGCAGCAAAAAAAATCAACACTTAGCGGTTACATAGTATCTTGTACTAAAATATGACCTTAAAACGCCGTAATCTTTAACTTCCCAAGCCGTGATAGCTCAGTTGGGAGAGCGTTAGACTGTACATCTAAAGGTCCCTGGTTCGATCCCGGGTCGCGGCAAGTAATATTTTAAAAAATGAATATGAGAAAAAGCTGACAACACTGTTTTTCATTAGAAAGCTGTCATTTTCTAACTCAGATTAAGAAATAAAATAATTGCAAAAAAACGCGAAAATGTAAAAACTGAAATTTCAAACTCGAAAGAATTGCATTATTGAACCCAACAATTATAGGTTGAACAATTTTGGCCAAATTCAAACCCAAAAACCTTAGAACGACGTAAGCAAAAGTTACGAAACTACTCAGTCTTGTAATTTACAAATAAACTTATCCTCAGAAATTCTAACCGCAGCAAAAAATTCAACACTTAGCGGTTATATAGTATCTTGTACTAAAATATGAACTTAGAACGCCGTAATCTTTAACTTCACAAGCCGTGATAGCTCAGTTGGGAGAGCGTTAGACTGAAGATCTAAAGGTCCCTGGTTCGATCCCGGGTCGCGGCATGTAATATTTTAAAAAATGAATTTGAGAAAAAGCTGACAACACTGTTTTTCATTAGAAAGCTGTCATTTTCTAACTCAGATTTGGAAAAAAACTAATTGAAAAAAGCTGCAAAAATGTACAAAAAAACGGAACGTTCAAACTCGAAACAATTGCATTTTGAACCCAACAATTATAGGTTGAAAATTTTTGGCCAAATTGAAACCCAAAAACCGTAGAACAGAGTAAACAAAAGTTACGGAACTACTCACCCTTGTGATTTACAAATTAACTTATCCTCAGAAAATCTAACCGCCACAAAAAATTCAACACTTAGCGGTTATATAGTAGCTTGTACTAAAATATGAACTTAGAACGCCGTAATCTTTAACTTCCCAATCCGTGATAGCTCAGTTGGGAGAGCGTTTGACTGAAGATCTGAAGAACCCTTAAAATAGCAGTTAAATGTTCCAATGAACTACCTGTTCAATGGCATATTCTTTTCCCGCCACTTCTGCAATTTTGGCTATCGTCTCGATGTGGTTCTGCAAGTTCATGTCCAAACACTTGCTGAATGTCAGCGTCTTTTTCGGGATGACCTTGAACCCGAGATCATCCGACAGTTTCTCCCAGTGGCGCATGCGCATACCTGGATTCCTGAGACCCTGGATAAGGGGTATGTAGGGTTTGAACTCTTCAATTTGTTGTTTGAAGTCCTGGGCCACGCTTTGTACAGCTGAAATAAATATACACACTTTTCGCTCCAACTCTTTGGAACTACAAAAATTTCGCCACTAAGCGGTTACATAGAATCTTGCGCTTAAATCTGAACTAAGAACGCCGTAATGCTGAACTTCCCACGCCGCGATAACTCAGTTGAGAGAGCGTTAGAGTGAAGATCGAAAGGTCTCTGGTGCGCTCCCGGGTCGCGTCATGGCAGATTAGCAAAAAACGAACGTGAGAGAAACCTGACAACACTTCTTTTTAATTGGAAGTCTGTCAATGAGCTATCAGACTAATTGCAGTTAGCAAAAATCAGTGAAGGGACTAAGGGTCTTAAAGAAGAATTTTTTAACTCAGATTTGGAAAAACTTATCGAGAAAAATCTGATTAACTGTGTAAAAGAGACATTTCAAAATATGGAATATTTGCATTAATGAACCAAACAAATGTAGCTGGAAACTTTATTAGCCAATTTCAAACCCCGATTAAGAAGAACAGAGTAAAACCAAAGCTACGAAACTACTCAATCTTATGATTTACAAAACAAACTTATCCTCAGAAAATCTAACCGCAACCCAAAAAAATCACCACTTAGCGGTTATATAGTATCTTGCACTAATATGCGAAATAAGAACGCCGTAATGTTGATCTTCCTACGCCGCGATAGCTCCGTTGGAAAAGCGTTAGATCGAAGAACTAAAAGTCCCTTGATCGATCCCTGGTCGCGGCATGCAAAAATTGAAAAAAAAAACCTGACAGAGGACATTTATTTATTTTTCATTACAAGTCTGTCATTGCGTTATCAAAACAACCGCAGTTACAAAAATCAAAGAAACTCAGATTTGGACAAAAAATTACTTGAAAAAAATCTGATTAACTGTATACAAGTGACAATTCAAAATCGAAATGGTTTTTTTTAATGAGATCAACAAACATAGCTTAAAATTTTACTTGAAATAAAATAATTGAAAAAAAAAAAACGCGAAAATGTAAAAAACTGAAACTTCAAACTCGAAACAATTGCATTATTGAACCCAACAAATATAGGTTGAAACTTTTTGGCCAAAGTCAAACCCAGAAACCGTAGAACAGAGTAAACAAAAGTTACGAAACTACTCACTCTAGCGATTTACAAATTAACTCATCCTCAGAAATTCTAACCGCAGCAAAAAAATCAACACTTAGCGGTTATATAGTATCTTGTACTAAAATATGAACTTAGAGCGCCGTAATCTTCAACTTCCCAAGCCGTGATAGCTCAGTTGGGAGAGCGTTAGAGTGAAGATCTAAAGGTCCCTGGTGCGATCCCGGTTGGCAGCAAGTAAAATTTAATAAAATGAATTTGAGAAAAAGCTGACAACAGTGTTTTTCATTAGAAAGCTGTCATTTTCTAACTCAAATTTGGAAAAAACTAATTGAGAAAAAGCTGCGAAAATGTAAAAAACTGAAATTTCGAAATCAAAATAATTCCATTATTGAACCCAACAATTATAGGTTGAAAATTTTTGGCCAAACTCAAACCCAGGAACCGTAAAACAGAGTAAACAAAAGTTACGAAACTACTCACTCTTGTGATTTACAAATTAAGTTATCCTCAGAAATTCTAACCGCAGCAAATAAAATCAACACTTAGCGGTTACATAGTATCTTGTACTAAAATATGAACTTAAAACGCCGTAATCTTTAACTTCCCAAGCCGTGATAGCTCAGTTGGGAGAGCGTTAGACTGTACATCCAAAGGTCCCTGGTTCAATCCCGGGTCGCGGCAAGTACTATTTTAAAAAATGAATATGAGAAAAAGCTGACAACACTGTTTTTCATTAGAAAGCTGTCATTTTCTAACTCAGATTAAGAAATAAAATAATTGCAAAAGAAACGCGAAAAAGTAAAAAACTGAAATTTCAAACTCGAAAGAATTGCATTATTGAACCCAACAATTATAGGTTGAAAAATTTTGGCCAAATTCAAACCCAGAAACCTGAGAACGACGTAAGCAAAAGTTACGAAACTACTCAGTCTTGTGATTTACAAATTAACTTATCCTCAGAAATTCTAACCGCAGCAAAAAAAATCAACACTTAGCGGTTACATAGTATCTTGTACTAAAATATGACCTTAAAACGCCGTAATCTTTAACTTCCCAAGCCGTGATAGCTCAGTTGGGAGAGCGTTAGACTGTACATCTAAAGGTCCCTGGTTCGATCCCGGGTCGCGGCAAGTAATATTTTAAAAAATGAATATGAGAAAAAGCTGACAACACTGTTTTTCATTAGAAAGCTGTCATTTTCTAACTCAGATTAAGAAATAAAATAATTGCAAAAAAAACGCGAAAATGTAAAAACTGAAATTTCAAACTCGAAAGAATTGCATTATTGAACCCAACAATTATAGGTTGAACAATTTTGGCCAAATTCAAACCCAAAAACCTTAGAACGACGTAAGCAAAAGTTACGAAACTACTCAGTCTTGTAATTTACAAATAAACTTATCCTCAGAAATTCTAACCGCAGCAAAAAATTCAACACTTAGCGGTTATATAGTATCTTGTACTAAAATATGAACTTAGAACGCCGTAATCTTTAACTTCACAAGCCGTGATAGCTCAGTTGGGAGAGCGTTAGACTGAAGATCTAAAGGTCCCTGGTTCGATCCCGGGTCGCGGCATGTAATATTTTAAAAAATGAATTTGAGAAAAAGCTGACAACACTGTTTTTCATTAGAAAGCTGTCATTTTCTAACTCAGATTTGGAAAAAAAACTAATTGAAAAAAGCTGCAAAAATGTACAAAAAAACGGAACGTTCAAACTCGAAACAATTGCATTTTGAACCCAACAATTATAGGTTGAAAATTTTTGGCCAAATTGAAACCCAAAAACCGTAGAACAGAGTAAACAAAAGTTACGGAACTACTCACCCTTGTGATTTACAAATTAACTTATCCTCAGAAAATCTAACCGCCACAAAAAATTCAACACTTAGCGGTTATATAGTAGCTTGTACTAAAATATGAACTTAGAACGCCGTAATCTTTAACTTCCCAATCCGTGATAGCTCAGTTGGGAGAGCGTTTGACTGAAGAACCCTGGTTCGATCCCGGGTCGTGGCAAGTAATATTTTAAAAAATGAATTTGACAAAAAGCTGACAACACTGTTTTTCATTAGAAAGCTGTCATTTGCTAACTCAGATTTGAAAAAAAAACTAATTGAAAAAAGCTGCAAAAATGTACAAAAAAACGGAAATTTCAAACTCGAAACCCAGAAACCGTAAAACAGAGTAAACAAAAATTACGAAACTACTCACTCTTGTGATTTACAAATAAACGTATCCTCAGAAAATCTAACCGCACCAAAAAATTCAACAATTAGCAGTTATATAGTATCTTGTACTAAAATATGAACTTAGAACGCCGTAATCTTTAAATTCTCAAGCCGTGATAGCTCAGTTGGGAGAGCGTTAGACTGAAGATCTAAAGGTCCCTGGTTCAATCCCGGGTCGCGGCAAAAAATATTTTAAAAAATGAATATGAGAAAAAGCTGACAACACTGTTTTTCATTAGAAAGCTGTCATTTTCTAACTCAGATTAAGAAATAAAATAATTGCAAAAGAAACGCGAAAAAGTAAAAAACTGAAATTTCAAACTCGAAAGAATTGCATTATTGAATCCAACAATTATAGGTTGAAAAATTTTGGCAAAATTCAAACCCAGAAACCTTAGAACGACGTAAGCCAAAGTTACGAAACTACTCAGTCTTGTGATTTACAAATTAACTTATCCTCAGAAATTCTAACCGCAGCAAAAAAAAATCAACACTTAGCGGTTACATAGTATCTTGTACTAAAATATGAACTTAAAACGCCGTAATCTTTAACTTCCCCAGCCGTGATAGCTCAGTTAGGAGAGCGTTAGACTGTACATCTAAAGGTCCCTGGTTCGATCCCGGGTCGCGGCAAGTAATATTTTAAAAAATGAATATGAGAAAAAGCTGACAACGCTGTTTTTCATTAGAAAGCTGTCATTTTCTAACTCAGATTAAGAAATAAAATAATTGCAAAAAAAACGCGAAAATGTAAAAACTGAAATTTCAAACTCGAAAGAATTGCATTATTGAACCCAACAATTATAGGTTGAACAATTTTGGCCAAATTCAAACCCAAAAACCTTAGAACGACGTAAGCAAAAGTTACGAAACTACTCAGTCTTGTAATTTACAAATAAACTTATCCTCAGAAATTCTAACCGCAGCAAAAAATTCAACACTTAGCGGTTATATAGTATCTTGTACTAAAATATGAACTTAGAACGCCGTAATCTTTAACTTCACAAGCCGTGATAGCTCAGTTGGGAGAGCGTTAGACTGAAGTTCTAAAGGTCCCTGGTTCGATCCCGGGTCGCGGCATGTAATATTTTAAAAAATGAATTTGAGAAAAAGCTGACAACACTGTTTTTCATTAGAAAGCTGTCATTTTCTAACTCAGATTTGGAAAAAAACTAATTGAAAAAAGCTGCAAAAATGTACAAAAAAACGGAACGTTCAAACTCGAAACAATTGCATTTTGAACCCAACAATTATAGGTTGAAAATTTTTGGCCAAATTGAAACCCAAAAACCGTAGAACAGAGTAAACAAAAGTTACGGAACTACTCACCCTTGTGATTTACAAATTAACTTATCCTCAGAAAATCTAACCGCCACAAAAAATTCAACACTTAGCGGTTATATAGTAGCTTGTACTAAAATATGAACTTAGAACGCCGTAATCTTTAACTTCCCAATCCGTGATAGCTCAGTTGGGAGAGCGTTTGACTGAAGAACCCTGGTTCGATCCCGGGTCGTGGCAAGTAATATTTTAAAAAATGAATTTGACAAAAAGCTGACAACACTGTTTTTCATTAGAAAGCTGTCATTTGCTAACTCAGATTTGAAAAAAAAACTAATTGAAAAAAGCTGCAAAAATGTACAAAAAAACGGAAATTTCAAACTCGAAACCCAGAAACCGTAAAACAGAGTAAAC